GATTATCATGATTTTGTTGGCATCTTGGTCCTACTCCTAATCAATTCTACCATCAGTTTTATAGAGGAGAACAATGCTGGCAATGCAGCTGCAGCACTTATGGCTTGCTTGGCTCTGAAAGCTAAGGTCTGTTTTGCAACTTTATTAGAAAAGATCCTTTATCAGAGCCTCTCCTAGTTAACAAAACATTGGTTCCATCTTTATTGCATTGTCCAAGACATATGATTTTGCTGAGCACTTTATTTAACTCTGCTAACAACAGGTCCTGCATAATGGAAAATGGAGAGAGGAGGATGCTTCAGTGTTGGTTCCTGGAGACATAATAAGCATCAAACTTGGAGACATTGTACCTGCTGATGCTCGTCTTCTGGAAGGAGATCCTTTAAAGATTGATCAAGTTATTATTTTCAATAATTCATAAATATGTATCCTTACTGCCAATACAACAAAATTCCTTTCATAACTCAGTAATAATGTTACTCAGAGTCAATGATTACTATTGACCAGAGAGATATGCAGTTAGTGTGGAGATGCTAAAAGAAAATTAGGAGGCATTGAGCAGACTGACTCATTGACTCTGAAATAGCCTTTTAATTTTATGTACACTCCATGTGCTTTAGTGTTTAGATTTTTTATGATTTGGTGCTCCAAAAATTTCTTCAGTCTAGGTTTGTTATAACTATCATGTTGAGCTACCTATTGTCCTGGATTTGAAAAACATTATTATCACTTGCAGTCAGCTCTCACAGGAGAATCTCTTCCAGTAACCAAGAATCCTGGTGATGGGGTTTACTCAGGTTCAACCTGCAAGCAAGGTGAAATTGAAGCAGTTGTTATCGCAACAGGAGTTCACACCTTCTTCGGCAAGGCAGCACATCTTGTTGAAAATACTACACATGTTGGGCACTTCCAGAAGGTTCACATAAGAGCTTGTTTATCTTGTTAATATCACGTTAAAATAGATGAGATTGAGAGTATTAAAAACACCAGATTTCCAAACACACGATGTTAATGTGACATTTCCAAAACTATGGTTATTATATTATGCACAATTGAAGGGTTTTTTATTGTGTTTATTTTGCGGTGACCAGGTTTTAACAGCAATTGGAAACTTCTGTATTTGCTCAATCGCAGTTGGGATTGTAATTGAAATCATTGTAATTTATGGGATTCAAAAGAGAGGTTATCGTGTTGGGATAGATAACCTACTTGTCCTGCTAATTGGTGGCATCCCAATTGCAATGCCAACTGTTCTTTCTGTTACAATGGCCATTGGCTCCCATTGTTTGTCTCAGCAGGTTACTACTTTCTGAAACTTCAAGCATGCTAATAATTTTATAATGAAATTAGAAGTGACCTAGAAGACATTATTTATCACCTCTAATGCAGAAAAATTGCATGGTAATGAATACAATTTATGTTCTGATCATTTTATTTCTTGTGCAGGGTGCCATAACCAAGAGAATGACTGCCATTGAAGAAATGGCTGGAATGGATGTGCTGTGCAGTGATAAAACAGGCACATTGACACTAAACAAGCTTACCGTGGACAAGAATATGATTGAGGTTATATTTTTTATCCCTTTTCCTTTAATCTGCGCATGACACAGCATTGGAATATCACGGTGGAAAATTAGCAGCAAGAAGTATTAGGTTCTATCTCTTGCACATACAACATCAATATTAGGAAAATAACTGCCTTTTCTCCTTGTGTATAATATCATCCATATCGGTGCAGGTCCTAGCCAAAGGTTGTGACAAGGATATGGTTGTTCTTATGGCTGCAACAGCATCAAGGTTAGAAAATCAAGATGCTATTGATGCTGCAATTGTTTCAATGTTGGCAGATCCTAAGGAGGTAACTAACTAAGAGGCAGTTTCCGCTGGTTTAACATATATGTTTTGTGAATTTTGGATGAAACCGTTGGCTTGATTTTTTATTCAGGCACGAGCTGGGATTAAAGAGATCCACTTCCTTCCATTCAATCCAACTGATAAAAGAACTGCACTAACATACATAGATGGTGTTGGTAAAATGCATAGAGTTAGCAAAGGAGCACCAGAGCAGGTCAGCATATAATCTTCTTTAACATCAACAGATATCAGCTTTCATCTGTGTCTCTAGAACCTCTAAGCTCTTTTTTGCATATGGTGCTTAGATTCTCAATCTGGCACACAACAAATTGGACATTGAACAGAAAGTGCATTCAATAATTGATAAGTTTGCTGAACGTGGACTAAGGTCCCTTGGAGTTGCCCACCAGGTGATATATCTCTTCTGATTTCTTTTCAAGTCTCATGTGCACATTCTTTTCAAGTCTCATGTGCACATTCTTTTCCATTGGTTTTGTTGAACATTGTCGTTTAATTTTCTTTAGGAAGTACCTGCCAATGACAAAGACAGTCCTGGTGGCCCCTGGGAATTTGTTGGCCTTCTCCCTCTCTTTGATCCTCCTCGCCATGATAGTGCTGAAACAATCAGAAGAGCTCTCGATCTTGGTGTTGGTGTCAAAATGATTACAGGTTTGACCCCTTTCTAACTAGTTTTTCAATTTTTTTTTCCTTGCTGTTTCTTTGCTTATCAGAAGAATTGTTCCTTCCTTTCACAACCTTCACCATGTGTTGGGAAGTTGAAAACATGAACAGAAGTATGATCAGTATGTCATCCATCAGCATCAGTTTGTAATGCACATGTCACTTTAAATCAACAGGCAGGTGGATCAAAGATAAAATTGTAAAGTTGGTGACTTGGTATTGTTTCTGTATATTTGTGCATTTTCTCTCATGTCTTGTACTATACATTCTTCTCTACAATGATATATAAAATATGAAAAATATAATATGACAATTAATTTCTGTACTGTTTATGTTTGAGGTAACCAACATGGTTCTGATGCATCCATGTTGTGATTTCATGCAATGAAACCATTTGCAGGTGATCAACTTGCAATTGCCAAAGAAACAGGGAGAAGGCTTGGAATGGGTACAAGTATGTACCCCTCTTCATCCTTGCTTGGCCAAAATAAGGATGATGCCTTTTCAGCACTGCCAATGGATGAACTTATTGAGCAAGCTGATGGTTTCGCTGGAGTCTTTCCTGGTAATTTTAGTAGTTACAAACTTATGCCTTAATGTTTATCCAATGTCTGATCCAATTTTCCTTGCCTTGTAGAACATAAATATGAAATTGTGAGGAGATTACAAGCTAGAAAGCACATATGTGGAATGACTGGTGATGGAGTGAATGATGCACCTGCATTAAAGAAAGCTGACATAGGAATTGCTGTGGCAGATTCCACAGATGCTGCCCGCAGTGCTTCTGATATAGTTCTTACAGAACCTGGACTTAGTGTAATCATCAGTACTGTCTTAACAAGTCGTGCAATCTTCCAAAGGATGAAAAACTACACGGTAACCTTACGAAAGTAACAATATTTCAAAGATGTTACTGAAGTATTCAGAATGCAAAATACTGAAGTTATTTTCCTCTTCTTATTTTGTCAATGGCAAAATTTGGATATCATTCCCAGATCTACGCCGTGTCTATCACTATACGTATTGTGGTGAGCATCACTTCTAAACTAAACTCTATGCATGAAAGTATTTTTATAGCCATCCCATCATCAATCTGTTCTCATTTTTAAATGTGGTCTCTTGCAGCTAGGTTTTATGTTATTGACTGTTTTCTGGAAATTCGATTTCCCTCCTTTCATGGTTCTTGTCATAGCAATCCTTAATGATGGTTAGTATTAAGCCTTTTATAACACTTTGTTCAGTGGATTTTCATGTTATTTACTTATGATTGTCTTTTTGTTGCATTATATTATCTTCTTCGCTCTACCTAACTAGCTCGATCACCCCTAGGTACCATCATGACCATATCCAAGGACAGGGTCAAGCCTTCTCCTTTGCCTGACAGTTGGAAGTTTAGTGAAATATTTGCAACTGGAATTGTCCTTGGTGGTTACCTGGCTCTAATGACGGTTTTGTTTTTCTGGGCAGCTTATGAAACAAGTTTCTTTCCGGTAATCTTGTCACCCTATTTCAGTGTTTCTTTCATTCATTTCACAGACCAACAAAAAAAAAAAAAAACATACTGATGGTATTGATCACTAGTAAGGAATTTGCTAGATCAATATTGTGTAATACCATCTTATTTGTCTTCATAAGCAGCACCTCACAGTAACATCTGAAATTAAGGAACATGAGTTATTAGGTCTTTTACAGCCCAACTTGTGATCTTCATTTTCTTCCTTTTGCAGAAACACTTCCATGTAAGGGATTTTAACCAGAACCACTTCAACATGACAGATGACAAAGTTTCCTCTAAGCTTAAAGAGCAATTAGCATCCGCAGTTTATCTTCAAATCAGCACCATTAGCCAGGCCTTAATATTTGTGACTCGATCAAGGGGCTGGTCACTCACAGAGAGACCTGGCCTTCTGCTTGTGGCTGCCTTTGTTATTGCCCAACTGGTAAAAGTCATTCTAATTTTCAAACAGATACTTAAAATATGGTGCCTTCAAAATGCTAGCTAAAGTTACTTGTGTGAATATTTGCAGATTGCAACTGTTATATCTGCGGTTGCAGACTGGAAATTTGCTGGGATCAGAAGTATTGGTTGGGGATGGACAGGAGTTATTTGGCTGTTCAATATAATAACATACATGCTTCTTGATCCTATCAAGTTTGCAGTCCGGTATGCACTCAGTGGGAGAGCCTGGAATCTGGTAGTGAACCAAAGGGTGAGCAAAAAGATGCAAACTTCCACTCCACAGATATTCATCATTAATTAACTATCCGACATTTGAATGCTAATACTAACCCATCATTTAATGAATTCATGGCATGCAGACTGCGTTCACCAACAAAAGGGACTTTGGGAGGGAAGCTCGTTAGGCAGCATGGGCAGCTGAGCAGCGATCATTGCATGGCCTGCAGTCCATCATTGAGAATAAATTATCTTCCGAGAGGGGCACCATTAGAGACATCAGTGTTTTGGCAGAAGAAGCTAGAAGGCGAGCAGAGCTGGGAAGGTGAGTCTTCCAGTGACTTGCTTATCCGTAGATTTGGCTTAAAAACTTCCATCACGTCTCAGTTCCAGAAAAGGGTCAAAGCTCAAAGGGGCTAACTGGCGGTGGCAGAAGATATAGTGAGGGGACGTGAATATTTTTATTGACAACTTGAATTTTAAATATTTTTTATGAAATTAATTAATTTTTTTTAAGAATTTTAATAAGATTAAGAAATAAATATATTTTCTTCTTTTCATGTCTCTAATAATTTTTTTATTAAATTAATCATTTTATTAAAATAAAAAATTAATTTTAAAATCTTACTCTTTCCATCTTAAAATGTGTTTTATCTTCTTCTTTTTTTCTGAAAATTTATCTATTAAAAGTTATATCTTTCCATCTAAAAAACTAAACAATAGAAAAGAAGGAACATAAAATTCAGTACTTAGCAATTGAAATAACTGATTAAATAAAGACTTAAATATTTTTGTTAATTAAAATTTTCATTAATAAAAAATCACTTTTTAAAATAAAAGACAAAAATTACAAAATAAAACCTTAAAAGAATGCAAAATCTTAAAAGACAAACATCTTTGAATTTGAGTTTAATTAAGATCTTGATCCCTAAGTTATTCATTATGCAAGAAATTTACTTATTAAAATTAAAAATTTTCAAAAGTTGAGGGGGGCGCCGCCCACTCGCACCCCTCTTCTCCCGCCACCGGTTACAGACTTGATAAACATAAATTTACATAGAATCCTTCTTGTTTTGAACGTGCAAAATGGGGGGCTTCACACCCTGAAAGGCAAGGTGAAGTCATTTGCCAAGCTGAGGGGATTTGAGATCGATACCATAAACCAACATTACACCGTCTAGAACTTGTATCTTCATCTTTTCTCCCTATAGTCTACTATACATGTCTGAGAAATTTAATTGTGCTAGCAACAATTTCTATCGTTGTTGATTTGTGCAACCTTATGTGATAATTCCACAAAACTATATAATATAATTGAAATGGCTTTATTCATAGAACATGGTATTACTCTTTATTTAATTAAGTGATTCTTTTAGTGATTGTAGAATATATTCATTGTTTTTTTCTTAACTTAATTTTCTTTAAATGATGGTTCTATTTGAGTTTTAAGTCTAATATCTTACAATGTAAACTACAAACACAAAGGGTGAGGGACGTAGCACTCATTATTAAAACCCCCTGTTATTTTTATATTTTACAATTGGTTAAATTCCCATTTTAATTCCTCTATTTTAGTAAAGAGTTTCTTTTTAGTCCTTCTACTTTAAAAAAAACCTTTTTTTAGTTTCTAAAGTTTGAAATCTAACTTTTTTTTGTTTTTTCATTAAGTTCTGTATATGGGCATATTAAATGATAAAAATTTTAAAGTAGAGGGATCAAAAATGGGTTAAAAAAGGGTCAAAAATAATCTCAATTTGGTCTTGTACTATGAAAAAAAGGCCCTTTTTTTATTCATTTCTTTTGAAATTTTCATTATCTAACGTAAAAACTTAATAGAGCAACTAAAAAGAAGTTTTTTTAAGTAAAATGATTAAAAATGAGCTTTTTATCAAAGTAACAGGACTAAATTGAAGTTTTAACCTTTACAATTTAAATTACTCTAACAAAAAATTTGCATCCGGCCCAAAAACACAATAAAAGGACTGCAAAGAGAAAATGGAGTGAGGCCAAAAGTTCTTCAAAATTAAAATACATGGGACCAAAATCGAGCCTTCAATCCGGGTCCGGCCTTGCGTTTAAGGAAATCTCGACAAGCGCTTCAAAACCCAACAACGCGAGTGCAACGGGCGATTGTCTCTAGTACTATTCTTTGTGACAACAACACTAATGCGTGATTGACAACATTATTGATGAAATTAAGTAAAATTAGAATAACAGTAAAATAATTCAATATAAAAAATACCTTTGGTTTTTTTAAATAATTTAAATTCAATCGTACAAATATTAATTAAAATTAAGTTTATCTAATATGTATGCTAAAAAT